ACCAGTTCAACAGGAGTGATACAATGACCTTACAGAAAACCAGCATGAAACTATTGCTTCCGTTGCATTTCACCGTTCGCTCTATAATATGTAAGATTGTAAGGCAGCTGGGGTCCGAATACCCTTTCTTTTCAATGTCTAGTGTTTCAGACCTTTCGTGTGAAAAGAATATCTTAAAAATTGTCAGCGTAGTCACCTCCAAAATGACCCTCGGGTCTTCATCCATAGCACCTCGCAGCATGGCCTTCACGATAGCGTTGGCGTGTTGAGTGGCGCCCTCTTCCGCGCACAATATCAACCAGCACAGTAACTGTGATACTCGGAGTCTCGCATCTGCTTGCCAGCCATCCATTTCTAACGAGCAAGATTTTCTTTATGAAGGAAAGGCAATTTTGAATAGCATTGTCAAGAGATTATTAAATATTATTGAAAAAGATAATCTCCAGTGTATTACAGGGCGTATACGGAGAACTGGATAACTGGATAACCGTAGGACATCAACTTACCTCGATTGATAGCTGGTACTATCTTCCCAATATTACTTGTTACCAGAGCCCTACATCCGAAATTCGGTCTCTGCACGTCGGGGTAGTGTGTGGGCACATCCTTCAAAAAGTCAGTCTTTTTCTTAAAGTCTTCTTCATTCTCCTCCATGTACTGACGACCAATATCATTCCACAAGTTGCTTGCTGTGGTTCTTATCTCGTCAATCACATCACTCAAACTGCAAAAAAATTACAGTATTATAGCAATTTCATTGTTTGTTTGTGATTTTGGAGACTGAAGACTATTCATTAAACTGTCAAACACCAAGCGGTCACCGGTGACCGCAACCTATTGTTCTATAATTATGTCTACAAAACTGGTACTCGACGAGTTAAAGCAAAAAAGAGCAAAAAAAATTATCTGCTGACTCTCGCCATTTTTAACACTATCATGTGTTATGCTGTGTTTATCTTTGCGCACTTTGTTAGCAATATGCTTAAGAGCAGTTCATGAATTACTCGCGAGGGACGCAGAATCTAAAGAAGGGGGTTATAGAACTATCAATAGTTACCTAGTGAGAATTAGAGGTAGCATGCGATGCCAGAAAGAGTATCTGTCTCTATATGTGAGCATCCAGTTGCCGATTTCCAATGTAACCTGCATGCGGACCTCAGTGCTCTCATCAAACAACTTCTCAGCCAAAGGACTGATGGACAGCTCAAAGCATTTTGCATTGCCTGCTATCACTACGGCTCCTGTGAGAATAGATGTAAGTAGGTATGAAACATTTTAATGAAGTTGTTCTATCTGTAAAATACTTTATTCATAATGATCTTATTGGACATTATAATTTTTATGTATTTGTAAAGAATAGTAGTTGCTATAAAATATACCAATAGCTTTGATGGCTGCCACACGAACTCTAAAGTGACGATGGCCAAAGTTAGACAAGATTGGCTTCACATAGCTCTCGGATTGAAAGTGGAAGTCTCTCTGAAGGACTCTTGTCACCATAATTATACACTCGGAAGCCTCAAGCTTCACCAAGTGAAATGGATCAGTTACAGTCTTCGTTAGGATGCCAGTGAAGTCGTTGATAAATGGACTAAGTAATTGTGAGACTTTGTATTTTTCCAAAATCTTCCGCACTAACTTAATCAGTACCAAACGAATTTCCTCAGACTCTTCGATAATTTCAGCACACCCTATACGACGGACGATCACAGGCAGAATATACGTCAAGTAGTAATCGTTCAGGGGAAGTTTATCAATAAAATTAGAAATAATCAGTGCTGAAGTTTCCCGACATGCTTCCGAAGCATCCGAGAAACTTTTCAGGACGTAAGCGTACACTTCCGGGAAGACGACAGTGAGGTCGCAGTCCTTATTTGCAGGGTTTTCAAATATCTCTTCGTTGATTTTCAACAGCGCCTGCTTTCTAGTCATTTTCGACTCGCTTTGTAATGCAGTGATATGAGTCTCCAACGCGGCGCGTGGATTATCCATTAAAGTAGCCTTCGTTTCCACCATTTTTTGTATTTAGGAATATTCAATGCCCGCTAAATAAATAATATCGACAAAACAAAATATTCCAATATTGATAAACAAAATCAGTTTCCATGACGACTGGCCGTAATCTAAGATGAAAATTAGATGGATGACATCGGATGACATTGACAGCTGATTCTGAATTTCTAACTCTGACTTTGACATATCAGCTTTGATGAAATGGATGAATGTCAAAACACAAACAGCTGACCAGTATCAAAATGAAGTCGGCTATAAAAATAAGAACAAAACAAAACCGATTCTTAATCGACTAAATTTATTGTAATCGACTAAATGGATTTATAAGTTACATTAACTTGGTTAATGAAGTTATATTGGCTTGACCCTTCTTCCATTTCTGGTCATATTGTGTGATCTTCCTTAGTTTTTAAATATAATCAGTTTTTTGATAGCGAAATAAGTATGTAGGAATCGTAGTAATTAGCGTTTCATAGTCTCTGCCGTCTCTGCCTACCCCCATCGGAGACAGGCTTGAAGTTATGTGTATATATGTATGTATGTATGTTATTGTTGAAATTTCACAAACTTGCAAGAGTAAAGCGAAACAAATGCAACTTATTCATGTTTCAATTATATACTTGCTGAAATCATCAAAAATTAATCGCCTAAACCCTTGTAGTACTTACCCCCAAAATCGATTTGCAACACGTGTCCATCTCCAAGATGCCAAGTGCCAACAACGTGCACCAATCACAGGCCGCCAAGTAAAGCTGTCAACGTTTTCAATTCCATGAATGGACGAGATTCTTCTATCACCTTAATTTCGTACTATTTCTATTTTATTCTGTTGCAAGTTACGGTGTCTGTAGCAGCTGGAGTTAATATTAGCCTAGCTTTTAAAAATTAACAGTTCAAAATGTGCAAACTCAGTGTGTTTCATTTATTATTCTTGGCTACAATCGTCCAAGTTACAATCGCGCTGAAGGAAGGCGATTGTGAAGTTTGTATCAAAACCGTAGAAAAATTCGCGGCCACGTTATCAGATGATGTTAAAACGAATCCTAAACTAATTGAGGCTGAGTTCAAGAAGTTTTGTAAAGGAAGTAAGAATAAAGAGAACAGATTTTGTTACTATTTAGGAGGTCTCGAAGAATCTGCCACCGGCATCCTGGGAGAGCTCTCAAAGCCGTTGAGTTGGTCAATGCCCGCAGACAAAATCTGTGAGAAACTGAAGAAGAAGGATGCCCAGATCTGTGACCTCAGATTCGACAAACAGATTGATCTAAACAACGTTGACCTGAAGAAACTTAAGGTCCGCGATTTGAAGAAAATCCTGAATGACTGGGATGAGGTTTGCGATGGTTGCATTGAGAAGACAGATTTCATCAAGAGAATAGAAGAGCTTAAGCCCAAATATATGGGTAAAACGGAATTGTAAAATAGCTCAATTTTAAATTAGGTAAGGTTATTTGACAAATATTCTTTAATAGTGTCAGCCATGTATAATCAGCCCTTGGCATGTCTAATTAGTAATAACATAGTGCTATGTAACTGAGTCATACTTGCATCATGAAAGTTATTTTCTCCATGCAAAGTATTCATTTGATGCTGTCACTGATTACTTAGGTCAACAACCTGATGTACACTTGTAAGACTACTGTACTGCCATGCTCATTTGATTATCTATGTTATGTTATGACTACAATGCAATTTGAAAAGATTGCTTCTTTTATAAATAAACAAAATCATCATACCTTCACATATGGTAAATAGTTTGCAGAGATATCAAATAATTTCAAGTTTGTTGTTTTTCCTATCAAACTGTTGGTGTTTAGTGGATAAAGAATAGAGATACTGAAGGCCTATTAAATTTAATTTCTGATAGTTTATTATGAAATGCATCAAAATATTATTATGAGTCAGTTAAGGTAACAGCAACTTAATTATTTATTGTGAAACCCTGAAGAAATCAGTTAAATCTTATTAGATTGAACTATTGAAAGAATTTATTGTCGAGGTACTTTAATTTTGCTTACATTTTATTTATTTGTAAGATAAATAGAAGTCCACTCTACAGAAAGATCTTATGAATCAGCCAGTAAAATTATTTCATGACAACATATGTCAACAACATGGTCCTGGACTCCCCAAATATTTTTTTTTTCTTGATTTTGTTACTTTCAGTAACCAATAGCTGTTTACTCACAACTAATAAGTTTTTTCTTGTTACAGAATAATTCATGGGACACTTCATGTGATATGACATCTCAGTAACAAGCCCTGATGTGCCAGACAGAGGCATTTCTCGTGATCAACTGAATATTTGCATTTGACAAACTGTATGCAAGTGTGTGTGGAGAATGCATGTGTTGAATAAATTATTATATTGCTATTAAGTAATTAAAAATATTTTTTTCAAATTGTACATTTTATTTTATTTAGTTACCAATATACCAATATACATATATGTATTTACCAATATACTTTATACTGAAATGTTTTATCCTAAGGGTTATGCAAAAATCAAACTTATTCTGGAAACATATACAGAACATATTACACTACCTGGCATATTCTACAGTGTTTGCACTGTTTCTCCAAATTGACATTACATAAAAATTTACATAGCATAAATACATAAATCACGTCTATTATTTACACAGGTGCAAAGAGTATAATAAGTATAGAGGAACCCAGAGTAGGTAGCAAAACGCGCGAGTATCATTTGGTAGTATAAAATAACCTGCATCTCTAAAGAATACCATTATGTTGGTACTAGTGACTCTCATGTAGTCTCATCATTTGTTCACCTCATATTCATCATAGTGTGACATAAAGAGTATAATAATTATAGGCGAAGTGTGACGTTATTTATAGCCTTCATGAGCAAATGGACTATTGAACACAGAATTATTCAAATTGGATCTGTCATACAGAGATTAGCGTGTTCAAACTCTTCACCTTTTAAAATTCAGCATAGATAGGGTAAAAAATAAACACAAAAATGAGTTCAGGCTAATAACTTTATTGCAAGTATGCTTGATCTAGTACATACAGATTCACATGATCATTTGAATAGATAAATAACATGCTTGTTGATGGCATGACTTCCGGATTAGTGGTATTTGTAGTTCCTGTGGTGCTCTGAAAAATAAAACATTGCTATTGTAAACATCTATAGGACTGGAGTAAAACTTATTAGTTATTAAAGTGTTGCCAATTAATTGATGAATTTAATGTCAATGCCAATAGTTACCTATTTTTGAATCTCAAGTTCAATAGCAATGTGGCTGAAATAGTTACTTATGTTGTGTTTGTTTAACATACTCAAATTTAAGTAAACAAATCATTCTTACTCAAAATCATTCTAATAAGCTTTTACAAAGATTATTTAATTAACAACTAGGTAGATTTTTAATAGTATTAGTATTTATAAGACCATAATAATTATATCTGACAAAAATAAAATGAGTATGATAGTATGAATACTTACTCATCTTTCCGTAGTTGATAACATAGAAGAATGTCATGCTGCCAACCAGCAGCTGGAAGAATGGAGCAATGCCCACCTTCTTGGGCTGCACATACTTGTGTTGCCACCTCCACCAGGCTGAAACCATAGGTCAGTTATGGATATTATGGTGTCATCTCTTATTGGATTTCCACTTTACATTATGAGCATAATATTGGTTGTTTCTTTACAGATATTGTTTATAGACAATATTGTAGGAATAGAGTTAGACTTATCTTTTAAAATTTTACAATTAGTGAGAGTACCTACTTCTTTAATACATTCATAACCTCAAACTTATTCACGAAAAAAAACGTAATTAATTGATTACCTCGGCTGAAGGCTCCAGCGATGGCCTGAGGCGACTTATTCCTGCGTGCCAACCATGAACCGAGCTCATTAATTTTCACCTGTCCGAATGGAGTATCAGCTGAAACCAAAATTGAAAATTACATAATCGAAAATGGTAAACTTGAAGGGCGACATTATTTACTAGCATCATCACTTACGTTTGCCATAATAACGGGCAGGGTCATAGGGCCCGTGGACTGCAGGGTTATATTCCTTAGGATAATCACCGAAACCCATGATTCCTGCGGTTTCACAGAATTTTTATCGAACGAAATTGACCTCGGATTTCGGTGTTCGGTCAATCTGTCAACAAACTGTCAAATTGTAACCATAGACAATCATTGCCATTTTTCTGTGAATTCAATTTTTCTTTTCAATGGTTCGTTATCTTTATTGCTTAGGTACCTTGCTTCTTGCATACCAAAGTTAATCAATATATAAGTTGAATGAAGTAAGTAAATAAATGTTTTATTTGTGAATCGATTTGATTTTAAGCTCAAACTAAACTGTCAGCTTGTTTTATTATCCAACGTCCTTGTATATTTTGGCGTAAAATATATCTGTGGAATAATAATATTCTAGACCAATATATGGCATCTGTGCACTTTGCTCTATGTTTCAAATTTGATAGTCTATGATTATACAGCAAATTTCATTCTTTGTGAGGTGTTCTCAATTTGTTTATTTCCAATTATTCGCTGAATAATCAAGCAAAATGGTCTTGGAAAGTACTATGATTTGTGTGGATAACAGTGATTATATGAGAAACGGAGACTTCCTTCCGACAAGACTGCAGGCACAGCAAGATGCCGTAAATCTGGTATGTCATTCTAAAACCCGATCAAATCCTGAAAATAATGTGGGATTATTGACGTTAGCCAATGTAGAAGTATTAGCTACATTAACCAGTGATGTGGGCCGCATCATGTCCAAGTTGCACCGTGTCCAGCCCAACGGTAACATCAATCTTCTGACTGGTATCAGAATTGCTCACTTGGCACTGAAGCATCGCCAGGGTAAGAACCACAAGATGCGCATCGTTGTTTTCGTCGGCTCGCCCGTCGAATCTGACGAGAAGGAATTGGTCAAACTGGCTAAGAGGCTGAAGAAAGAAAAGGTAAACTGCGACGTCGTATCATTCGGGGAAGATGCAGAGAACAATCCACTACTAACGACATTTGTTAACACTCTAAATGGTAAGGACAGCGCTACAGGAGGCAGCCACCTTGTATCTGTTCCAGCTGGAGGCTGTGTCGTTCTCTCTGAAGCCTTGATTTCCAGTCCATTGATTGGCGGTGATGGAGCGGGCCCATCTGGTTCAGGTTTATCTCCATTCGAATTTGGTGTTGATCCAAATGAAGATCCAGAACTAGCACTTGCTCTGCGTGTATCTATGGAAGAGCAGAGACAACGCCAAGAGGAAGAGTCACGTCGCCAACAAACCAACACCGAAGGAGGAGAGGCAGGCAAGACTGCAGAACCTCAAAACACTGGTATGGAAAGAGCATTAGCTATGTCACTAGGTCATGAAGCTATGGAGTTATCCGAAGAAGAGCAGATTGCACTTGCAATGCAGATGAGTATGCAACAGGAAGCACCTCCAGCAGAGGAAAGCATGGATGTGGCAGAGGAATATGCTGAGGTTATGAATGATCCTGCATTCCTACAGAGTGTACTGGAAAACCTCCCAGGAGTAGACCCTCATAGTGAAGCTATCAGGAATGCCATGTCCACCATAAAGAAGGACAAGGATGAGAAAGATGACAAGGATCAAAAAGACAAGGATAAGGATAACAAGGGACCTGGCTCCAGTTCTAAGTAAACACAGCATTGTTTTTCAATTTTTTTAATTGATACATTATGCTCGTAAACTTTAACATTAGACACCACGCTGGAGTGTATACTATCACTATAAATTTATTGAATACAGATTGTTTATAATTTAAGTTGTATATTATTTCCATGTGATCCAATTGAGCCCTTCAATCTTATCATATTCTGAAAAGATGTTCACATTGTTATTGTAACTGTAGAGGAAGTAATTAAATGTTCATATTGCAGGATTTTATCTTTGCTTACTTACTAGACTCTACAAAAAACCTTTTACTTTGAAATTTCTTTTTAATTTCAATTAGTTGTCGTCGTCTCAGGTCCTCATTAAATTTACTTTGTGATGGTATGCTTTCCTGCATTTTTCCTAAAATGAAACAAGACCTTTTGAATTACTGGAATCTCACAAAATTACTGAAATTAAGTTCTCAGAAGAACTATCTTTCAATAACAATTACCTTGAATGAAATTGGACTGGATTCCTTGAGTTACAGACATCCTATATAAACAAATCAATAATCTGTCACTCTTGAAAAGCAATAGGAATGCAGACCAATCCCAGTTTTTACTAAAATAACAAAAATATATTACAAATTATGTAAAATGGGCAAAGATGTACTAACCCACATTAAAATGTATGTCCATACACAACTATGAAAATTATTTAGCATCCAAGTAGGATAGGATATTTTATGTTGAAATACAAATTGAAATAGGGGACCTGCATTCCTAGAAATGTACTTACTAAAGGTGTTTACTTGGTCACAAATGAAAATACATTGAAATGTGGGTTGGAACACTCTGTAGACTGCCCCATTTATTGATTAAAACACATTTTGTATACCAGTCTTTTGACACGTTTTTTTGTCCTGGTCTTTTTGGTTTACAAGTAAATTCGAGCTCTGTATATCTTCTAACTGAGGTTTGAAACTTCTATGATGGGGACCAGGTGCTGGAAGGTAAAATTCTAGATTAATTTATTTTATTAGGCTAACAACAACATCCAGTTAAAAATGTTGAAAAAGTTTTTGAATATTTGTTTGCGAGTTCTATTTAAAAACTTTATTACAAAAAGTACTTACGACCTTTGATCGGAAGTGTGACAAACGTTTCTTTACTTAGACTTTCGCAGTCATCGTTATCATCTTCGTCTGACATCATCTGTTTCTTTATTGGTTCTTTAAGAAACAAAAAAAATATCATTAGTAGGACATGGAGGTCCTCCAAAAATAGGTACTAGGTACTCTCCAATACTAATATAATAATAATATTTATATTATTAGTGTATATTATTCCAAATTGTATTTTGTCCAGAAAGTACCTACCATTCAGTCGTTTCGTTAACAATATTTACCACTTGGCAATATTCTCTTGGCTGCTGGTGAACTCGATCTAGTAGGAGAGGATACTCTGGCAGGCGACGGTGCCCTGGTGGGTGACCGGGGCGGCGTGCTGCAGGGCCTGCTGGTAATTTCTAAAAAAATAACCATCAAAATATTCACTACTTGGTACTTGGCAGTACTTGGTAATTTTCTATTAGGTGCTTGTGCACTCGCTTTAATAGAAGAGGACACTAGTAGTAAATCGCAGGAACGTACTGCAAGTGCGCGTGTTGATTAAACAAAAAGATAATATTTACCATTTTGCAATTTTCTTTTCGGTGTTGGTGAATTTGCCCTAGTAGAAGAGGGTACTTCAGCAGGAGATGATGCTCTGGAAGGAGACCGCGAGGGCGTGCCGCAGATCCTTTGAATTTCTAAAAAAAAGGTACTCTTAAATATTCACTACTTAGCAATACTCTCTTAGGTGCTGGAGAACTCGCTCTAGTAGATGAAGGTCGTATTTAACGGCAGGAGCGTAGGGCTGTTAATTAAAAAAACCTATATCTAGTGTTAGGTAAAGAATAAATGTCTACCTACCACTAAGCAACGCTCTCTTGGGTGGTGGTGAACTCACTCTTGTAGGAGAAGATACTCCATCAGGAGACGATACTCCGGTAGGAGAAAGTGGGGGTGTACTGCAAGTCTTACTGTTAAATTCTGAAAAAATAAACATTCGCGACTTGGCAACATTGTCTGAGGCGTTCTAGTAGGAGACTAGCGGGGCCCGGGGCTTACAGAGAGTTTTGGGGTGAATTAAAAAAAAACAATATTTACCACTTGGCAACATTCTCTTGGGTGCTGGGGAACTCACTCTTGTAGGAGTGGGTACTCCAGCAGGAGACGTCGTTCTAGTAGGAGACCGTGGGGGCGTGTCACGGACCCTGCTGTTGATTTCTAAAAAAACCGATCCGTTTATTCAGTCATATTTGAAATTCTTACGGCATGGCATTACATTCTGAGGCCTTAGTATGAGTTTGTTTTACGTTTAAAATAATCGTAACGAGTATGCGTTCGGCGCTGTGATTGGTTGCTTCATTGGCGCCGGCCAATCAGAGTGCCGAACGCATACTCATTTCGAATACTTTAAACGTACTTAAATCAAACTCGTACTAAGGCCTCTGGATTTAACTTGCGCCTGGTAAGTCAGACTGGACACTTTATTCACTAATGAGGTCTACGTTCTGCAACCAAGTTAGCTAAATGCTTACCCGGTTTCCATTTTTTCGTGTTGCGTTTATCTTGGGTTTTCATACCGCGGTGGTCGTAATGTTGTTTCGTTTGCACGCTTAATATTTCTGTAAGCGTAAATGATTTTTGTGACAGCCTAAGAAAATGTCCATACTTATCTAGATACTTAGCATTTTATTCCACAATTGTTACAATTTGTAAAAACGTCGGTGTCGGCTTGGTCATTATTGGTTATTAATATTGGTGGTTATTATTTGGTTACGAACCAATTAGATTTTTAATTCCTAAATCCCCAACGATCCTCAAACTCCTAATCCCTAAAAGGCCGGTAACGCACGCACTTGTAACGTCTGGTGTTCCTGGTGTCCATGGACGACGCCGATTGCTTACCATCAGGTGATCCGTCTGCTCATTTACCGGCTTATGCCATAAAGAAAAGCGATTAGATTTTTAATTCTCCTCAAAACTTCAATAAATTAAAGCTGTACCTAAATAGAAGAGTTGCTGATAGGTCACCTAGCGACTTTGAAATAGAGTTTATATGTAAAAGCACATACCTTGAGGTTTGCTCATAGTTTTGTATTGCCGAGGTGGACTTTTAGTTCGAGGTAGAGAGGAAGCTGAAGGCCGTGATATTGGGATAGTACGTACTGAAAGAAAAAACACAAATTATTTTCTTTCGTTTCAGGTTTAAAGTTGCAAATTAAAATTTTAACAGTTATTAAGTTAGGTACCTGTGGTACCTATGAATGCCAATAGAAAACTGATGAAGGTAAATCCTCCACTAACGTCGGTCACCGGTGACCCCCACGGCGTCTATTGTGTTAAGTCCATCAAAGTCAAAGCATTTATTTCAATTAAACCATAATTTGGTACTTT